GGGGATCCCCCAGGTTCTCCCCCATCCTCTACCTACGGCTGCTCACGCATAGACTCCCCCCCCCTCCCTTTCCCTTTTTCTTTCTTTTTTTTTCTTCCCTCAGCATGACACTCTATTCGCTGCGAGGTGCGACTGCTAAGCTACTTGCTGCTGCTGCTGCCGCCGCCGCCCGCTGCTGCTGCTGCCGCTGCTGCTGCCTCCGCTGCCACTGCTGCTGCCGCCGCTGACACCACCACTGCTGCTGCTTGCTGCTGCACCACAGGCTGCCGCAGCCCCGGTAGACGGGGGGGGGGGTAGTTGGGGGCGAGCTCGAGCTCACTGGCCCCAAGAGCTAGCGGGTTATCCGCAAGCTTGGAGACATCCTCCCCTGGAGCTCCCGGCCCAAGGAGGGGAGCTGCAAAGTGGACGGAGCCCGCCCCAGCAGCAGCAGCAGCAGCAGCTGGGGCCGCCTCAGCAGCAGCAGCACCACCAGCAGCAGCAACAGCAGCAGGTTCAATAAACAGAAAAGTGTTACCGTTCTCGTCTGGAAGGATCCTGCTGAAAGCTTGGCTTGGTGGGCGCCATCTTCCTGATTTTTTTTTTCTCTCTTACTTTTTTTTTCCTCTCTCTTCCCCCCCTCCTGATTTGGGGGTGTGTGTGAGGGTGGGTGTATGTGTGTAAGTGTGTGTGTGCGTGTGTGTGTGCGTGTGTGTGTGTCTCAGTAGCAGCAGAGGTGGCGGCAGCGATGGTGGTAAGACAGGAAGGCTACGGAAAAGTAGTGAGGCCAGAGCATTGCGGGCGGCCGGAGGTCCCCTCGAGGTGCAAGTGCCCCCCGGCACAGGTTGCTGCCTCCTTGTTTAGCGCCGCCGCCGTCCATGCGCCGCAGAGCGCAGAGAACCCGGGTAGCTCCGGCTCCCGAGACATGCCAAGCGCAGAGACAGGCGACCGGCGGCAGCGGCGGCGGCGGCGGCGGCGGTGGTGTTGGTGGTGGTGGTGGTGGTGGAAGAGGAGGAGGCGGAGGAGGAGGAGGAGGAGGAGGAGGAGGAGGAGGAGGAAGCAGCGGCGGAGGCAGCAGGGGGAGGCAAGCGCACAGCACCCGCAGACAGCCTGGCCCTGGACATCGCCCCCCTCTCACACACTCACACACAGACACACGCACACACACCCTTGGTTTGGCAGCAGGTGTGACACACACGCCACCGGCGGGGTGCAGCTGGGGCCTAGGCCGGAGGCGGGGTGGGGGGTGGGGGTGGAGGGGGAGGCGTGGAGAAAGCTGGGGGAGGGGGTGGAGAGGACAGAGTCAGGGGTTTTCTGGCTTGACCGCTGTGAAAGTATTTCTGGGCATTTTCCAGCTGCTTTCCCCCCAGCACTGCTGACTCTCTGCTCTCTCTCTCTCTCATGTGTTAGGGGAAGGGGAAGCTCCGCTGCCGGCGCAACAACGCCGCTCAGTTGCAGTTTAACACACTTCCCTTCTCTGGAGTGTCAGATCCAGGGGAGGGGGAAAAAAAGAGAAACTCATAGGCAACAACCGAGAAAGCAAGGAGATAGGAGACACATGCTGCAAATATGCATTCGAAGGCAGACTACATAAATGTATGGTTGTATATAGCTAAGCATGCAGACTTGAAGAAAATCACCTATGTCCAGCCTTTGTTCAGAGACTTTTCTATAACAGTGTAGATACACTTTGCAAGAACTTGCTCCGTCAGAATAAATGAAAGGCATGTCCCAAAGCCCATGTGTTCTTCTGTATTGCATGCATACGTACATAACCTGGAAGGGCAAGTTTGTGATTGTGAAATTCAGAGTACATTTGAGCTACCTCAGACGCGAACACCCCTGTGAACTGAGGGGAAAGAAGGAATTGGGACACCATATATACAGCTTGTTGCACAGAGGTTGCAACTGTCATATGGCACTATACACAAAAAACGAGGTTTGAGTACCACTCCCCCTTTAGAGAGAGAGGACTGAGAGGGAGGGAAAAGAAATAACTGAAATTCTCTTCCCTTTACTAAGATTTTTTTTTTAAATTTATTTTAAATCTAAGAAGGAGTCAGTTATCCTCTTGGGCTTGCCAAGTGAGAGATTTCACTAGGGTAATGTTTTTGTTTTTTGTTTTTTTAAATTTGGGGCTATTTCAATTCCAAGATCCCATGATACTTGCAAGATTTTCTTCAGGAGGAAAATCTACAGGTAGGATGAGATGGAGAGTAACTTTGAAACTGAAAGAAAAGAGCCTATGGAGTTGGCAGAACACTAGACTTAATGGGCCAGCAGGGAGGTAAAAACAAAACAAAACTGGCAATTAGGAAGTTTGGCAGTAAGAGCCAATGGTACATTAGTCCTACAAAAGAGGCTTTTCTCAGTAAAGATGACAATGCAGGGAGAGGCTTCTGCTTGCTTGAATTTTTATCTGGGCTCTGCAAGCCCCTGTAAGAAAGTTTCCTCCTCCCTTCCCTCTCCAAAATTATATTCTTTCAATACTCAAACCTTTTAGTTAAACAAAATATCACCATGAATTTGTGTAGATATACGCTCCTTCCACACACCAAAAGACTAATATAAAAATTAATCCTGTGAGACCCCTGCTCATAAAGTAGGAGAGACTTTTACACTTCTCTGGATTCTATATCTTGACCCTTTGCTTGTTTGCATTCCAGATGAAGAAACAGAGGACAGAAGAGGTGTTTCCCCCCCTTTACACACAAAAGCACATTATATAATTTAATTTGTTTGTTTCACAGAAATTCTAATTCCCTTCCTTGAATTAAGTAAAGCTATGAAAAGTAACAGGTGTCATCCCTGCTTGGCCAGAAATAGAAGGTAACCAAGGCAGCTACAGATTTCAAGGATATGGTGGTGTTCCCCAGTAATAAAGTAATGTCCCTCTCAAAAGGGTAATAGTTAAAAGTTAAGAAGTATATGCTGAGCAGAAAGGGTATTTAGGTTGTGTGTGTGTGTGTGTGTGTGTGTGTGTGTGTGTGTGGCAAAACCTTAATTTGTAAAATCTAAATGGGCTTTAGGAGATTGATGAACTATGTGTCTTAAGTCAAAATTTCAAGCATGTAAGATGTCTAGTCTTTTCCAGGGGTCTAATCAATAACTTTAATACACTTCAACAGGTGAAGGGGCACTACCTGGGTTCAAAACAACCCAGAATTTTGTTCTTGTATGACTATATGTCTGTCGTGATTTTGAATGGAAATGACAACACCAAACTATTGAAATCAAACTAAAGCACTGAAAATGCACTTGCTGCCCAGTTGATACATTACTGGCTAGCTTAAGCTCTCCAGAGACTCTTTTCATTTGTCTAAAAGCCAATCTGACATTTCTGACCCTTGACTTCCCCACTTCACAAACCAAACTATTGTGACTGTTGCCTGTACTTCCTAGTTAAAGTGACCGCCAGTTCCTATTGTCATTTAAATGTTTTATATGTGACCAAAAAAAATCATACAGGGACCATGAAAAGGAAAACCACTAACCCAACTCTTTTCTGGTCCTTTATATTTGAAAAGCTCCCAGATCTTTTGTATTAAATGTTCGGGTGTTCGCTGGAGTGAAACAAGACTGAAAAATTTTTGAATCCAATGTCCCCTTGGCTAGGAAAAGTACCCAAGCATCCTTTTGAGTTATTTCCAAGAATGTCTTTTTGAACTTATTTTGCAATAAGCAAAGTATGTGCAAAAGTCTTCTGCAGGATACTTGACATAGTAGAAATCAACTTGGAAAAATACTCAATTGCCCCTTACCCCTTAGTCTGATCTAGTCCATTCACTACTATTGGGTAGGAAATAGAAAATAAAGGAGAATGATAGATTATCTTTGCCTTTTTGGTTCAGATTCTGTTGGTTCAACTAAAGTTCCCAAGTCAATGAAGTTTAAGGTATAATGTTGAAAAAAAAAAGAGCTGTTCTTTGATTTATGTGGTATCTACGCATTTAAAGTTACATGCCATTGCATTTTTTGTCTAATATCTATGCAATTGTGGGAATACAAATATTTAGTTTAACTCCCCCCCCCCCTTTCTTTCATCTCAAGGGCACAAAACAGCACTCTCCCACTCCCATGGAATGTTTAAATTTCATTCTAGATTATTAGCTTTCTCAGCTGCACTGTTGTGGATTACAGTTTCGTTAAAGCCTTAGACTACCTAAATTCTTTTTAAGGAAAACTTTAGTGTTCTGGGTCAGTTGAATGGGTTTCTTTTTTCTTTCTTTCTAAGGTGAACTGAATGTTACATGATTTTTTATACATGTTTGTGGCAAAAATCTATAACGGTTTAAGGCAAAATCAAACCAAGAATGGCTTTGAACTGCATTTTTACTTACTACTTATTCTAACTTGGGAAGATTTGCTTCCTAACTCCCAGTCTCTGCATCTTACACATTTGCATTATAATGCGTTTAAGATGAATACTTCCCAGTGCAGAGTAGACTCGGATTTCATGCTGTATTTCCCCGTAGTAACAGGTGACATGATAACACTATTATGTAGAATTGCAAGTCGGCAGCTACACGTGAAAATCGTTCCTATTCTGTTTGAAAACAAATTTATCAATCAGTCTACCGTGATCAATTATACCCCTGGCTGCCACTTAGAGCGGGATCTGTCCCAGGCATTGACATTGAGAAATTCCGCTGGAAGGGAATGGGATCCCAAACTTTGCCAAGCACCTGGAGCCGGATCTAGTACTTAACTGAAAGTCGACTACTTTGCAAGGGGAAAAGAGGACTAAGCGGTCTGGTTGTAAAAGAGTATTATGTGGACCGTTTTACTTGTAGGATGCACTGGAGTGCTTTTTAATCTGAATTCTCTTCGCCCCCCCCCCCCGCCCAGGTTTTCTTATGTTAAGAAATATGTATATATAGCGAGAAGCTTGTTGATGTATGTAGATATGCATTTATGTTAAAGCAAACAAAACAGAAGCAAGTGAATATTGGAGTCGTCGCCCACCCTCCCACTCCCCAACCTTGAAAAAATAAAATCCCAGCTCTCTTGCCCTGACTACTCACCGCTGTTGGTAGGAAGTGATGCCCTGGACGTTTTGCGGGTTGCCGTTGGCTGCGGTGGTAGCTCTTCCCATGCCTGCCCCGGCCGGCACCCCAGCAGCTGCCCCGCCGGCTGCTGCGGCCGTCACCTGCACGCTGAAATCCGGGAAGATTCTGATCATCCCCGCGGCTTCAGCACCCGGGCGCGGCGAGTCTAGGAGAAAGCTGACAGCGACTCTCCCTCCGGCGGCGGCGGCGGCAGCAGCAGCGGCAGCAGCAGCGGAGCCAGGCACCAGCCTGCAATCCCATTAGTGAGCGGCGGCCACTGTGAGCGACTAGAGGGAGAGAGACGCTTTGATCTGAGCTAGTAGGGTGGAGGGTGCTGGGAGAAGGAGGTTAGGAAAGGGGGGGGCGGGAGGGGATCCTAGGGACTTACAAACAGGGAAACGTGTCACGGTGTTTTGTTGTTTTTTTTTTTGTTTTTTTTTTGCGGGGGGGGGGGGGGGGGGGGAAGGGGGGGGGGGGGGGGAGTAGGTGGTGGTGGTAGGAAGGATGTACAGAGAGGGTTTGCAATGACTTGGACCGTGCAAGGGAATGATGGGCAACGAGGCTGCCTTTTCTTTCCCGCCCCCTCTTTTCACTCACATACAAATACACGCGCGCTTTCTACCAAAAGTGCAAGTCTTAGGAAGATCTCTCTCCACAGAAATAACAGTAATCTAGAAACGTTGTCTCCGAAGCAGACAACCTGGACTACGATCTGTGCGCATAAAGGCCACCCTCTGGGTCCCCCTGCGTTCTCTTCTCCGTCCCCTTTCCGTTGCAAGAAGAGGCAGTGGAAATGAGAAGGTTCGAGTAGCTCGAGTTCTTCTCAATAACTTATTGGTTTGCAAACGGGGAAATTTTAAAAGGAGCCGCTTTTGTGCAGTGGTAGAGTTTGTTCCCACTATAATAACTGTCTCTTCTCCCCTCCTAGTGTGCAGCAATGTTACTGCTAGTCAAACTTGTGAGGTGCGTACTGTGTATGTATAGGAATGGGGGACTGCATGTACCCTGATGCTTCCTTCTTCACCCTAACTACATCCTCTAACATACATCCATTTCTACTGATTAAATACGGTATTCGCAGACAGAACTCAATGAACTCTGCACATGTATACCACTCAAGAAAAAAGAAGACAATAGCACGTGCATTAATCTAGGTTTTTCCGTGGTTCTTGTCCACATCTGTTTTGGGGGTGGTGGGGTGGCTAGAGTTTAAGGGAGAAAAGAAGCAGTTGAAAAATGACACAGATACTTCTTGAGAGAGGAGGGGGATGGGGAGTGTCAGGAGTTAGAGTCTCTTACATTGCAAGTGGGTAGTAGGGAGTTTGACTTTTCTGCCCACCCCCCTCCAGCCAGACCCCCTATCGCCAGACTTCCTCTCTCTTTCTTCCGGCATGCAAGCGATTTGTCTGTTCCACGGGCCGGTGAGGAGTAGAAGGATGGGAGGTGACCAGTGGAAGGAGATTGATTCTCGGAGCTAAAAGGTCGATTGTGGTGCAGCGTGAGACTATATTTGCAACCGTCCGGCCAGAGGCAGCCTCACTGCGCACCCGCCGCCCCCCGCCCGCAGTTTTTCTGCAGCAGAGACTGTTTCCTCCTTCTTCCTCCTTTAGCTACAGCGGGCCAGAGGAAAGGGGTATGGTGTGGAGTGAATGGGGTGCGTGGGGGAGGCGATGTGGAGAAGTAACATTTGCGTCCCACGCGTGAGCCACAACTTAGGCTCGGTGGAGCGCGGTGACCGAGACCCGAGTGCCCTAGCAGCTCAACCAATCGCGGAATACCAATAGCGGAATACCAATAGAGGCTGGAACTCTGATGCACCTGCTTAACCCTTTGAGAGGACGGGGGTGCGGGAGGGGGGCAAGAAGGAGGAGCAGTCAATGGAAAAAAGGATCAATTGGACAGAAAGACATCTCAAGGGTTGGGAGCAAGAGGGAGCCTACTCTAGCCAGACCATTTGGAAGAGATTCGAGATCCAGACACCTGCCCCCTCTCATCTAGGACCCAGGCTAGGGGATCTCCTTCTTTCCCTCTGTGGCTATGAGGAAAATGAGAACTGCACAAAGGAACGTCACACGTTTGCGTCCTAGTCAGTCCTGGTCAGTCTCTCGGATCCCCAAACCTTTGCAGGCCCCAGAGGGGCTAGAGAAGGATGTCCCTATCCACTAACCCGAGCCCCCCCATCTCTCCGCCGCTGAAGAGAGCCCCCATGCTGGCTCTCGCCAAGAGTGCAGCTGCGTTTCCATTTTATTCTCAAACAAAATGCTTTGGACGGCAGATAATACCAGGAGATATGAAACTGGTTAGTCCCCACATGTTGCACATAAAAAGAATCCATAATGAGCATCTGTGGGGTATGGAATGGATCCCACGAGTTAGCTGAAGATCTTATAACCTAAGAGCTAGGTGCCTAAGTGAATTATGGCTCTCTCCTTCCACGCAAGGAGGATTAATTTTCTAGTCCACTGATATTCATTATCCAACCTTGTTTATACTTTGGGGATGTCAGTTGTTTAAGTACCAAAATATGGAGTCTTTCGGGCTAGATACAGGCTAAAGAGCTGTTTTTGAAAGGGTATTCTTACAGGCATAACTTCTCCTTCAAACTCCCATTAAAATGAGCGTTGCTTAAGGAAAGTTATAGGAGAGGTTCGGGTCCCCTTCCTCGCCTTTCCCTCAATATCTTTCTCATAATGTACTGGCAGGGCTCTGATAGACCCTTTGACTGCTTGTCATATCTCCGGTAACTTAAACTTTGACCAGTTTCATTGTAGCTTAGGGAAACTGGATAAATCAGGGATGTTTAGGGCTTAGGTGGAGTCCCTCTTTTCTGAATGCCTTGGTCAATTCTTGGCAGCACTGAGTGTAGACCAAACCATCACAGTAAAGGATCTAAAATGAGTCTAAAATTAAATCCAATTGGAAGTAGTGGTTTGTTTTTTTCAAATAACATTTGTCTGAATTATTGGTCCACTCTCCAAAGGATATGTGCCTAACAACTCATGTTTGTATTAACTAGTTAGTGGCCTCTTACAACGAGAGGCCTGGTCTCTCCATCTGTGCTTCTAGTCCTGTAATGGAATGGAAGATTCCAAGCAGTATCATCTTGTTCCACAGGCAGTATGATGTGCCAAGTGAGCCAAAAGGAAAAACCTTCATTTGGCCAAGAAAACAGAAGTTCTAACAAATGAGTCTCACTGTAAATCAGTTCAGCACAGTGTAACAAATATTATGAATTACTACCTTTTACTATTTTAATCACAATACACAAATACAAGGGGTAGGCATTATATATCTTTGCTACTTTATAAAAACAATTTGTAAATATAAGGACATAATATCTTACTGTTGGAAGGTATCTTTTAGCTTGACTAATTCAACATATTCATTTTACAGATGACAGAATTAAGACCCAGAAAGGTTAGGAGACCTCCCCAAGGTCACAAAGCTAGTTATGGATAGAACTTGTACTATTCAGGTTTTCTGACTCCTGGTATATATTTCTTTCCTCTACATCATGCTGAGGAGGGGTAGAAATATTAACCATGTAGAAATACGTTTGTTTAGACCTGTCATTTCTTTGATGTAAGGAACTTCCTCTACAAGTCCTGATGACAAAAACTAACTTGTAACTTATTTCTGGGAAAAGTGAGAAGTTAATCAACTAGCCTAGCTTTGCACAGCCAGTAGGCTTCAGAAGCAGGACTTGAAACCACTTCTTTCTGAATCTTCTGCACTATCTGCCACTTTACGATGAATAGTTATTCTAAAAATACATTTTCTTCTCCCTCCTGCCTTTGAAGTTCGGCAAGCAAAAACTGTCTTGGCAAAAAGGGAAGGCAAAGTCATAAATTACTGTCTGCTTATGAACATTCTCCAAGCAGAAATAAGGGAAGCTATATTGTTAGAGACATGCAAATGTAGTCTGGATGAAGCTATGCCAAGTATATTTTTGATTATCAGAATAATAATTCATGAATGAGAGGCAGGTTAGTAGTACTGTCTTCGAGTCAGAAGTACTTGAGTTCAAGTGCTTCTGAAACATTATTAGCTGTATGACTTTGGGAAAGTCACTTAACCTCTCAGCTAATCCTTAAAGATGATAAATTAGAGATGAAATGAAGATCTGATTCTCTGTAGGGAGTTCCCTATGCCAAATGAAGTTTTGGGTCCAGATTAAAACAAATGAGCACAATTGAACATTGAATTCGAAATCAGAGGACCTGTCTTTGAGTCCCAAGTTTGACATTTATTAGTTATATGACCATACACAAAGCAATTGAGCTTTCTGAGGCTCAGTTTCCTCACCTATTAAATGGGGAAATTTTTGCAATATCTACCATTCAGGATTATTGTGAAGAAAGGACAATGTAAACTTCAAAGTACTATGTAAATGGAAACAATTTTTCAAAGTTTCTATGAAATATATATGTATATATATATGTATATACATACATGTGTTACTTAACATAATTCTTGCCCTAAAGACACTTCATATTCTAAAATGGAGCTTATAGATTAAGCATAGAGGACTTGCTCAGTAATGTGCCTAATGAGCCTGTATAAAATTTTTACTGCCAAATGTTTAATTTTGTATATATTATTTACACCCTAGAAAAAGTTTCTTCCTCAATGTCACGCACAAAGTTCTTACTCATATGCATCTTGATCTTCATTAGACAACTCAAGCAAAATTTTAGTTGCAAAATTTTAGTTTAGAATCTCTTCATTAGTCACAAACCTATATTCTCTCTGGTTGTTCAGCTAAAATTTTTGTCAGGTTGCCAGATAGTATTAAAATATATTTCTAAAGTTGTTTTTATATTGATTAAAATACTCAATGCCCTAGTTGATCAGTGCTATTGAAACATGAAACTGAATACATTCCTATTTTTAATGATAAAAAAACAAAAATTAGAAACACAAGAGCATATGGTGCCTTTATAGTACAACAACATTGAGGATATGCTGACGACATACACACACTTATCACAATTACATATTTACATCTTCATCCTTGTTGTCAATGCTCTATGGCACCTTTTTCTCA